CGTATATGGCGAAGACTTGTGCAAACAGAGGATCAGACTTCACTTTCTCATACTCTATTGGCAAAGCATCCTTGATTTTCCTAAGTATCGATAATCTGCAGCTGTTGTTAATTTTCTCAACTTCAGGCTCTTTACCATGTCCGAAAAGGAGCTTGGGAAACTCCTTAGTAGTGGCTGCACATAAAAAACAAACATATGTAAATAAAACCATTCACAGTGATGACTAATTATAGTGCATAGTTGCAGTTAGCAAACAAAAATTAGTATGTTAAAGTACTTGATGTCTTACTCGTGCTTCCTAGATTGTTTTCCATTGATAACCTTTGATGTAATGTAGATCCAAAACCTGAAAATAGAGAACAAACTAGCTTTATCAAATATTTAAAGTTATTAAGAGACAAAACACTTGATATAAAAATAAGACCCTAAACAACGTGAATCTTTCCTCAATCTAAATTTTTACATATTCCATTATCACAGTTTGAGGCATGTATATCTCACTAAATGGAGACATCTACAAGATTATACACAAAGATGATTCAAAGAGCTAGAGGACTTAATAAATCAATTAGCAATTAAAATTTGGAGTTTTACAACACAAAAACTGAAATCTCTAAACGAGTAACACAAATTCAAAGAACATAACCAAATATATAGAGCAACTAATACACTCCTACGTTTGAGGAGATTATTTTAAGATCAAAGAATGATTCAAGCTAAGCCTTTTTCAAACTCAAGCAACGTCGGAAAAAATAACAATGTGATTCCAGTCTAGCAGTTTCCCTTCTTAAGCAATGGTGATATGGATATATAGATCATAGTAACTCAGTCAAACTAAATTATCGTTTTTACATGCTAGCAAAGCAAAACATGCCTAAGCAAATTCTTTCAGCCCATCGAAAACCACAATGCATAACAAATATCCGCTATTGCTATCCACGCTTTTATTTTCAATTTAGCTTGTATACCTTTGGCTCTGTTTAGTTGATCAGAAATTATAACACAGCTATCATGATCAGCGTATACATAGGTTCTTATGACAATGAAAGAGAATGGAAAGAGCAATTTTTTCTAGACCATTAGAGTAATCTGCGTTTCTTTTCCTGGCATCAATCTTATTTCTAACCTTAGATAGATATTAGCCAATGATTCCTCTACCCGAAATTTTTTAAGAAAAAACCATAGCTAGCTATTGCTAACTGATAAGCTAATGTTAAATCGCAAAATTTACAGTTGCGTCTTAAAAGAGATTCACAAACACATATACATTAACATGAATCAAAGAGATAGAAGACTTAATCAATAATTGATGTTGTGACACTTGAAACGCATGAAAGGAATCTAGGAACAAAACAAACAAAGGAATCTACATGCAATTGAAATTTGGAATTTTAAAACTCACAAAATTGAAACTTCAAATCTGAACTACACGAATTCAAAGAAATTAACAAATCTACATGCAAACTGAAATAAACTCTTGCAAATTACACTAAATCGAGAGAACAAGAAAGGAGAGAGACGAACCAATAGAAGACAACAGAGGAGAGAGACGAACCAATAGGAAGCTTCAAGCTGAAATCAAGAGGAAGCAAGACGGCGCCAGACACAGAGACGGCAGAGGAATCGCCGGCGACGACGATTGAGAGAAGACAGAGGAATCGCCGGCGGCGACGATTGAGAGAAGACAGAGGAATTTCCCGACAGATGTTTTTTTTTTCTTCTTTTCATCAAACAAGTCTTTTATTAGGTCTTCGTGAAAGACTCTCTTTCATTTGGAGTTTTTGTGATTTTATTATTTCTATTTTAATTTTGTAAAACCAATTAGGAAGTTTTATTTTTAAAATGAAATTTGTGAGAAAATGAGGGTAAAATTGGGTTTTTTATTTTTAAAAACCTATTTGACCAATCTACAAAAAAAGGGGATATATGGACAAATTTTTAAGTAGATATCCTTTATTTCCAATTTTCCCTTGGTTCTTTGACTCTCTAGACTTTTTTGTTCTCTAGGATTGTGATTTGTGAGAAAACAATACCGATTTTAACCATAATAATTATTTGTTTTTATTAGGACTCCAATTAAATTTATTTTACACTTTTATACATCAACTACATTGTTATACACTGGCCAAGCCAGAATATTTATTCACCAAAGTCAATAAAAATTAGGGAGAACGACTTGTGTCCCCACGAAGTTTCATATAGTACCATAACAACACAGATTTCGGATCTCGTCTCCAGTCCACACAAAACGAAAGATAAACTCCAGTTTCCCCCTAAATTGAAAGTTCGAGACCTCAGTCTCCATAAATTCAAATTCCGTGGTTTATCATTGGTTTACTATGCCAAACCCGATGCCAAACCAAAACCCAAAATAATAAACCGATTTGTAACCAAACCAAACGGAATGTTATTGTTTAATAATATGATCTAAACCTTCTAATGGACTCGGAATGTTTCAATAATAACTAAAAAAAAAATTAAAAAGAAATACACCTCATTTCGTCTTCTTCCTTTTTCCCTTTCCAATGCCAGATTTTTTCTAAAAAATTAAAGAACAATAAACAAATTAATGAATTTGTAAAATCTTCTCCATGTGAATTGATGTTAATCAAACCCAGATTTCGAATTGATGTTAAATGTGAATTTCGCAAATTCAAATCAAACCCAAAATCAATTTTTTTCTTAATTAACATCAATTCACATGAGAAACAACTTTCAGATTTGGAATTGATGTTAAACTGAAATCAAATTTCGCAAACAGTCTCAGTCTCAATTAAAATCAGTTCACATTTACCATTGAAAGCTCAAGTAGTTGGATCAATCAGTGCCGCTGATCACTCTCCCTAACAACACCGCAACAAATCCCAACCATTAGATCTCAAACACCATCACCAAAAAACCTTTCCTCCAATTACAGATCAAATCAAACGAACTCTTCGATTTGAGGCTTCAACAAGAGAGATATTCGAATCCATCAATTTGGGGATTTTTTTATTTTAGGGTTCTAAGGTTCAATTTAGGGATTATCGGGTTTAATGGGTCTAATAATCGGGTTGGTTTCTGGGTAAATCTGGTTTAATCTCGATGTTAAGCGGTTAATAGTGTTTCCGGCACAGTAAACCAATGATAAACCACGAAATTTGAATTTATGAAAACTGAGGTCTCCAACTTTCAATTTAGGGAGAAACTGGACTTTAACTTTCGTTTTGTGTGAACTGGAGACGAGACCCGAAATCTATGTTGTTATGGTACTATATGAAACTTCGTGGAGAGACACAGGTCGTTCTCCCTAAAAATTAACCAAAAAAAATGCATAAATATTATTAAAATCATAACAATGATCACAAATATAAATCCTAAAGATGGACTCTATGCTTACAAATATAAATCTTGGAATCGTTTTTTGATTGATTCATTTTGTAACATTGTCAAATACCTGTTTTTCAACAAAACAAACGAGACAATCAATTAAAAAACATTATCAACATGGTTACGCAATGTTGTTTCACAAAATACATTGCAAAGAATACATATTTCGATATTTGTGTTAAATAAAATAATATATATACACACATAGATACATACGCATATAAAACTTTTCATTGCCTTATCATAATTCTTTTTTCCTCAAAAAATGACTTTTATATATGGTATCAAACTACAACTATTCCAATTTTATGGGTAGTGAAAGTAAAAGGAACAACACTGTAAACACCAAAATACAACAAAGCAAACGACTATAGTTAAAGTAAAGAGTAAGACAATCTTCATAACTTTCACCCTAAGACCAACCAACAACTAAGTCCTGTTAATGGTCTCAGAGAATACATCATGAGCCTGTGTTATGAGAGATTCTTCCCCATCTAACCATCTTCAAAAAATTAACCAAGGTCTTTAGGAATTTCATGCCAGACCGTTCTTCCACACCATTCTAGCCTTAAACAAGGCACCAAAAGGTGATTTCAAGCACCCACCCACTTGGACAGTCGAGTAGAGATTATTACCTAAAAAGAGAAACAAACTTAGCCATAGTTAGAAAATCTTAGAGACCAATGGCTATTCAGTCTCTAAGATTGGTGATTATCTTCAAGAACTCATGGTGGCTCTTGATCCACCGGATAAAACCTCACACCATTGTTCTTCCTGCATTGGCGAGTATTTCTTTCAGCATCGTCAATGATGTGCTTGCCTTTCATTCTTTTAGAGCTTTCTCCGATCTCATATTTGGATTTAGGTTTAAAATCCATAACCGATGTAGAGTCTGATGAAACTGGAGGAGAAGACGAACTTGAACCTGGAAACCTTTGTAGAGGATTAACAGCTAAAAACTCTTCCAAATTAGGCATGAGAGTAGCCGGTCGAGGAGGTTGAGAGATGGGAGTGTAGGATGAGATATCTGAGCTGAAAGAAGATTCTGATGAAGTTATGACTATTGGATCTCATTTCTTCTTCCCCAACAGGGGTCACAAGGATGTCTAAAATCTCATCTGGAATAACCGGAGGAATAAGGTTAGTGACTAGCTTGATGGTTGATACTTGATAGTACGACAACAATTGGTAAAGATTCTCTTTTTTTTTTTCTTTAATCAGATCTCAATTAATTTTGATTCTGTTTTCTTTCCTAATTAAACGCTTCCATTTATATTTTATGTTGGCATTATATTCATTTTGATATTTAGGGATATGTCGTTTAAACTTTTAATTTAACACATACTGTACAAGTTTGGAATTAGGGATGTTTGAATCTATCTCAAGTTCTCTGCATTTCCCATCGGAGTTCGACTCCACTAAGTCGCCACTACAAGAAAACAGCTGATTGCCGACTATGCATAACGACTATAGAAGTAGTCGCTTAATTTTGTGACTGTATAGCCACTATTTGGCGACTATTATACGACTATTTGTGATTAGTCGTTCATGAGTCGCCATTTAGCGACTATATAACCGAGTCGCTATCTCAATCGCCTTTTAGTCGGAAATCAGTAGCTATTTAAGTAACCTAAATCTATATACATAGATACCAAATTAAGATTTTGAAACTTATATCCTAACCCTAAATATAGACCCTAACCCTTAAATAAACCCCAATAACTAAATCAAACACTAGTTATAATTTTTTAAAACTTAATATCCCTATAATTAAAACTTATAATATATAACATTATCTATATATATACCTCCAAAAGTTAAATCACATAAACTACAAATATGAAATTTTTTATTCTGTATCTTAGAATTAATTAAGAAAGCATAAAAACTAATAATTAACCATTATATATTTTTACAAATAAAAACCATTTACTTATAAATTAAAGTTTCTAAACCATCAATACAATTATTATAAACTATAAAAATTAAACTTTATACTCTTAAAAATTAAAATTAAAATTAAAATTAAAATAGCGACTATTTGGCGACAAATTAGCGACTATAGTGAAAATTTTGGGTTTAATAAAAACCGCGAAACCAAACCCAAATTTTAAGCCCAATTCGGCATGCCCACTCGTTTTCCCTCTGAAGAAAACGCACAAAGGGAATCAGAAACCCTAATTTCATTCTCACTCTCTTCTCCTTCCTCAATCTCTTCCTCAATCTCTTCCTTAGTCTCAAATCGAATCTCTAATCAAATCCCTCATCGAAACCCTGATTTCGTTCTACAAATCGAATCTCTTCGTCAATCTCTTCCTCAAATCTCTTGCTCATTCTCAAATCGATCTAGCCATGCCTCTAGCTAACAACAAACGTCGAGGCCGCAAGAGATTATCCATTCCAAATGTGTCTCAGAGGCCAGTCGGTTCCAAACCCAACACATCGAAAAGAAAAAACCCTTTACCTCCTCAATACGAGTTCACGCCGGCGCCAGAGGAGCAGATTCCTCAGCCTGAGTCGCCCCTTGAGCAAGTCCAGCCAGTCCGCGTTTCCCCTCAACTGTCTACGTCAAGAGCTTCTCATTTCCGGGACTATCCACCGCCACAAAGGCTTTTCCAGAGCTCGGTGAATCAACCACGTGAAGACCATGGGTTGTCTGAACAAGAAGTCCAGCAGGAACAACCTCGACAGCAGGCACAGCCTCGACAGCAACCTTCTCGACAACAACCTTCTCGGGATCCTAGACAGCAACCTTCTCGACAACAGGAACCTCGACAACAACCTTCTCGGGATCCTAGACAGCAACCTCCTGAACAAGTGGATCCTCCAGGATCTCCACTTCATCACTCTCAGGCTCAGTCTCATCCATCATCTCAAGGGAATAATTTCCAGGATACTTTAGAACCAATGTTGCCGGAGCTACAGGAGGACACAATGAGGGATCTAAATGCCTTGCTTCTGGTGCCAAACCGCGAGAAGTTTACCACCGTCCTCTCTCCAACACCGCTGCCAAACACAACTTGGTATATGTCTCTTGATCCATTGATGTGTGAGTGTGAGTGTTATAAGATATGTTTGATGTCTCTTAGGTATCTTAGTTTGATGTTTTAGGTTGATAGTTTTGATGTGTTAGTGTATTCACACATGATTCTTGTCTTTGATGGTTAGTAGTTGGTCTCTCGTTTGACACATGCATCTGGTCTCTTTATTTTTAAACTCTTGTAGTAATTGCTGAGTCTGAGTTAGATTTATAATCTTAGGTTGATACTTGATTTGATACTTGTTTGATAGTTGATTTTACTTGTTTCATACTAGTAATGACTTGTTTGATACTTGTTATGAATTGTTTGACTTGTTTGATATTTGTTTTGACTTCTTTGCTTGTTTTGATTTGTTTGATACTATTAACTTCTTCACTTGTTTACAAATGCTGCAGGTTCAATCTACTTGTTTCATACTAGTAATGACTTGTTTGATACTTGTTATGAATTGTTTTGACTTGTTTGATATTTGTTTTTACTTGTTTACTTGTTTTGATTTGTTTGATACTATTAACTTCTTCACTTGTTTACAAATGCTGCAGGTTTGAGCGCGATGAAAAATCAAGACTTGTTAGGAAGATTACTAAAATCTTTACTAACAAATTTGATGGTCCTTATTATAGTTGGACTTGTGTGCCTCGTGCGAGACAAGAAAGATACTTCCTCGAGTTTGCGGTAAAGTCTTATGTCCTATAGCCTTCAAATCTGGTTGCATTTTTGTTCTTCCACTAACTCTGGTCTTGATGTCTTTGTGTTGTAGAAAACCCACACCTGGGATCCCTTGATAACAGGGACAGTTCAATGGTGGTTCGAGGAAATCTGTGGACGCCGGATGAAGGACATGGTAAGCAACGCAAGGACGAGTCGTGAAAAACCCGACTGGATCTATGAAGATACCTGGAAAATAATGGTTGCGTATTGGGATACTGAAGAAGCACAGAAGAGGAGTCAGATTTATTCAAAGGCTCGTATGTCTGACCGTAATGGTCTCGGTCCTCACATCCACTTGTCAGGGCCAAAGTCATATTAGCAAATCCAATACGAATTGGTTAGTATATCTGTCTTTTTCTATCACTCTTTTGTTCTATGATTTTGTGCTAATCATTACATATTTTGAAACATCGCAGGAAGAACTATTGGGAAGACCAGTGAGTCTTGGTGAGGTCTTCATTAAGACTCATACAAGGGCTGATGGTTCTTTTGTGGATCGGAAGGCAGAGAAAATAGCTAAGGTTTATGAGAAGAATGTGCAACAGAAGTTGTCTGAGCTGGAGGTATATGATTCGGACGGCGCTTCACGACCTCGAGAGCTAACAACAGATGAATATACAGCCATATTTCTTCACGTTAAGTACAATTTATCACAATCCACATATATTGTTTTTTGACTTTTATAGAGTTCTAATCTACATTCTTTTTCTCTTGTCATTCACAGTCCACTGAGAAGGATTCAAGAGGAACTCTCTATGGAGTTGGCAGCCTCAAGGGAATTCTTAAAAATGGCAAGCGCAAGCAACCCGGAGACTCTGCATCTTTTGTGGCAATCCAAGAGCAACTGAAGGAAGCTCAAAAAAAAATCGAAGAGCAGGCTGCTGAAAATACAAGGCGTGAAAAAGAGCAAAAGGAGAAGCTCGAGCACTTGTCCTTGGTGGAGAAGTACCTCCGACAAACTGATCCAGCCTTTTTGGACTTCATGAAGACTCATTCGGCTGCAGAAACCACAGAGCCTCTCTCAACCGGTCTTCCCCCAACTTCTTGAACTCCTATCTATCAGCTTCTTGTTTAGGTTCCTTTTAAATCTTTCCCCAAGTACATAAACTAAGTTCTTCTCTCAGTTGTTTTAAAGACTTGTTTTTGTTTGGTATGACTCAACTTTGTTTCTTTTAAATGAAGTGAATCTATGTTTTTAGCTTATTTACTTTTCAATTTAGTATTTCAATTTAGCATTTTAGGTCAATGCAAAATAGAAAATCGAACATGCCATTTTTCTTCTAAATACAGTCGCCAAACAGTCGTAAATCAGTTGGAAAATAGTCACTATAATCTTTACGACTACACTACAATATATGCAGATTAGTCGTAACATAGTCGTAACATAGTCGTTAAATTTAACGACTATGTTACGACTACTGTTACGACTGCACCCTATAGTCGTAACGTAGTCGGTAAATAACGACTGAAATTACGACTATAACATTTAGCGACTCTCGATTTACGACTACCGCTTATAGTCGTAACTTAGTCGTAACTTGTCTTTTAACGACTACATTACGACTAATATTGCAGTCGTAAATCAGCTGTTTTCTTGTAGTGCGCGTTACCCCGCGTAGTAGAGATTGGCTATGGATCGGGCCTTGTCGATCCAAAGATGTCAAAAAAAAAAAAAAATTCTATCTGAAGTTGTATTGTTTCTTTGACTCTGTAGACTTTTTGTGCTATGAGATTGTGATTTGTGAGAAAAAAATACCGATTTTGACCAATTCTTTTTTTTCTAATCAGAACCTGAATTAAAATTAATTTACATTTTTATACTTTTTTCTCGACGAAAGGAACTTATATATTGAATTGGTGAAATCATTACTAAGAGTTTGAGCAATCGGTTTGGAAGGGCTTACAGAACTTGAGATATAAGAGAGCTTGTTACAACTAAGTTTTGCTAAAAGATGAGCTGATTATATTCTCTCCTAGTATAAACGAACAAAAGTTCTTTAAAATTTTAAAGACCAATATCTTGGAGAAGGCTTTGTATAGATATTTTTTCCTTATCCTAGGATGATGTTCATTAGAACCTGACAATCCCCTTCAAAGCAAACTGATGTGTATCCTCTACTCCAAGTGTGTTGGAGAGCCGCTAATAATGCCTTAGCTTCTGCCTCCAAAGGCGTTTCTTCTTGATTTAAATTAGACGAAGCCCAGCATTTTGTGAACCTGTTGTGATCTCGAATTATCCAGCCTCCTGTTGCCTTCGAAGTGTGAGCATCATATCTTGCATCGAAACTAAATTTAACGAAAGGGTATAGTGGTCGTGTCCAAGAATTCCTTCATGAGTCTTGATGTTAATCCACTCTGATACTTCCGCTTTGGCCTTTACCACTATTCTCGACGGATTTTCCCATATTTTATTGAATGTAAAATTGTTTCTAGCTTTCCGGATTCGTCATTGATGTGGTGTAGTTTTCACTTCAATCTTTTACCTGAAAAACTACACCTTAACTGCAAGTGCACAGTAATCAATAGTAGTATTTTAGGATCGATCCCACAGAGAGTATAGCTACAAAGTATTGAATTCAAAGAAGAAAAAATGGCTAAAACAAAACTAAACTTGGCGGTTTTGGTTTTGGGTTTCCTAATAACTAATGCAATGAAAGTAAATGAAAGCGGGAAAGTAAATATCATATATGTAAACTATAAGACTAAGACGTTGGGCGTTCTAGGGTTTCTCCAGGTATCATGGTTCTCGACTAACTAGGGTTTTGATCTCTTAAGTTTCTATGTTTTTTGTTCTAGTTCATAACTACGAAAGGCGAATAAACGAATTAGCCTAGGTTATAGGTCTAACCAGCAAATCTCCTTATACTTCGTTACTTAACTTACGCAGGAAACGATGCATAGTTTGACGCATTAAGATTGGATTTGCTAAGTACTCTAAGTCATGTTTCAACTTACGCAGGCAACAACACGAAGGATTGATAACACTATGTACGAAGTTAGGTTTACCCGGTTAGGGCTCCTTCCATCTTGGATCAGCGTTTGGTGATCAATCCTAAAAGATGTCTCAAAAGTATCTAAGTATGAACAAAATAACGGATCTAATAACCTAATATGATTCGAACCATGAATCCCCTTTGAATCACCCCATAAAACCCAACAAATAAAACTACTTACTCATGATGCAAAGAAACCACATAGAGATGAAGAAGAAAAGCATCATAAACAAATCAATAAACAAAGAGGGTTCAAAGGAAACTTCTCTAGTTATCACAAAAGATAACTTGTCTCCCCAAAAGTCTTGAAATAGAGTAGAAGAAAAGAGCAGAGAAATCAATGAAGAACAAAAGAGAGATCTTCAAGGGACGACAACTTCAAGAGCTCGGAGATGGTAGGTGTAATGCCCCGCACATAGCCTATGGACGGGTTGCACCTAAGGTAAGACTGACGCTACGAGCGTTCATCAAGTCATATTCCGAGACATATCAAGTGACTTAGCCATTTTTGGTAGAAAAAGCCTTGATCTTCCGAAGAAACTATAGGATGGGGCTAGGTTAGTTTAAGGAATAATACCTATCGAGAAAAAATGAAAGTTGGTCGATGGATTATGGATTCGGGTAAGGAAACAAGGAATGTGGCCGAGAAAACCTACTCGCGATCGGCCGTGAACGACCCGTACATACGACTGCCCCAACAAGGACTAGATTCTCGTCCTCGGTAGGAGAACCAACCCTTGCCGCTGCCGATTCCGGCCTAGAAGTTTCACTTTTTGTGGTCAGAGTGTTCAAGTTTTTGATTTAATTGAAGAACCGAAGTAAAAAATTGGGGATCGAAGAATTTCAAAGTAACAAAAGAGCTGAAAAACTTTGCCGGCGAAAGTAAAGAAGCAATAAGGTAAAAAATGAGTGAAGGAAGAATTACCTTTTAATTGGTGGAGAAGAGAACCACTTTGGGAGTGGTGGGGAAGTGGGACAATTTCCCCGTTTTAATAATATAGTAATGGAATCGGAAGAGTTAATGTGACAAATGTCACGATAGCTAATCATGGCAAATTCTGAAATCCGAGGAATGTGATGGAGGAAGTTACGGAGTCAGAGATCGTATCAAGCAATTTTTGCTATTATGTATTTAAGTCTTACGAACTGGAGCAACAACTCGAAGGACTTGAGGGGCTAATTGTTTGTGTTGGATCCCAAACTCTAGGTTTGCATCCCATTTGAATATTGTCACGTAGATGACAAGTCAACCAGAAAGAAGTCAACAAGTTAGTACCCGAACCGAAGTCTCAAGATGAGAGTAAGCAGACCAAAGAGCTCAGAGGTTGTGACTAAAAAGAAAGGAGAGTTCAAGGTTGAGCAATGGCCGAACACTCGAAGGTCCAACATGGGTTCAAAAGGATTAAAACAAGGATGTTATAAAATTTATTATAGAATTAAAAGAACACATTTATAGGTAATTATTACATTAATTAGTCCGAAGGTCGTGACTAAAAAGAAAGGAGAGTTCGAGGTTGAGAAATGGGCCGGACACTCAAAGGCTTAACAAGGTTCAAAAGGATTAAAACAAGGATGTTATAAAATTTATTATAGAATAAAAACAAATACATTTATAGGTAATTATTAATTAATGTAAATCATTGTATATAAATATATGACCCCTAGTCCAAAAAAGGGACATCAATTTCTTGCTAAAAAAAACAAGTATTATACTATTTTCTCTCTATATCTTTGCATACATTTTCATATCATTTGCTATACGTACTTTGTCTTGTTTTTTAATCTTGAGAGCTTTAGCCCATAAATAAATAAATATTTGAGTGTATTGTATGAATCCGACATCCACAATACTTATGAGGTTTGCTTTACATTTATTCTTGAATTCTGAATACGAAACCAATGTTCAAATCTTGGACTAAATATTGAAAATATAGTAACATAATTATAACCCAATCTAAACATATATACATAGATATTGTTTATCTGTCCAGATCATAAAACCCAATTATATCATGTAATCATCAATGTAGAATGAAACCCAACATGTATCTTTGATTCAATTACAAAACTTCATTTCCCAAACAAAACTATCCTTTTTTCTTATCCATAAATAATGAAATCCAAAACTTAAAGAAACCATAGACATAGAAGATTCGATCCCTCAAAATATAAAAATATATTAAGAAAGAGTTTGGATTTCTTCTAAAATCTTCAAGCATTTATATTCTCCCCATGATTTTGAATGGGGATGATGACTATTGAAATAAGCTCCAAGCTACTCAAGCATCCTTTCCATCGCACTTAAGAGGTCTTCTATCTCGAAGACTCTCCCTACTCGAATGTTACACGTTTTATAAGACTGAAGTTTACACAATGTTTTGCTGCTTTCCTACAATACATTTTACGACTAATGAAAATGTTTCATTATTCTCATTAATTTATTAAACATCAAAGTTAAATTAATTTTATTGTATGAACCATTACCATATAGCAAAACAAATGAGAAGAGATAATAAAACTTCTATCTTAAACAGAAAAAAAAAACTAAACATTCTCTCTCTATCACTGATTTATCTATATAATTATTTTTGTTATTTTAGCATATCCTACAATTATTTTCTTTACTTTTAAAATTAATTGATGGTGGTGACGGTGGTGATGATAGTGGTGATGGTGATAGTGATGGTGATGGTGATGGTGGTGACGGTGGTAGTAGTAGTTGTAATGGTGAATTGGTTATGGTGGTGTTGGTGGTCATGACGGCAGAGTGGCGATGATGGGATGATGGTAATCGTAATTGAAAAAGTAGATGATAACAAGAAACGAAAAAGTAAATAGAAATAATGTATGTTTAAGTGTATAGTATATATGTGTATTTAGAGGGATACTGAACATTAGGTTAGTATTTAATTTGTAATTTTTTTTTTGGTTATAGCTGCAAATTTCTCTATTTTTTTTTTTTTTTTGTGTATATGGATTTTTTCTCTCGAACTGGTTAAAATCAGATAACCGAGAAAACATCGCTTTGGTTTGCTCTCAAAACTGAAATTACTTTTCCCAGTCCCGAACGGAAACGCCGCACGCAGCTATAGTCAGTCATCAACAAGCGCACCTCTCAAACAAAGTAACAAAGAGGTATTTGTCAATCAAATACCTTTTTTTTTTTTTTGACAATAGCTGATGTGTGTTTTCTTCAACTCTTTGCATACTAAACTTCGAATTAGATTTGTTGGAACAAACTTCGAAGCTTGGAATCTGAAATATCTGATTCTGATTTTTTACTGTAGTCAAAGATGGTCAGTGAAAGTGATAAAGTTAGAGAAGCAAATCAAGAAGAGGAAGAAATAGTCTGCTTGGAGTCTTTCTTCATCAACGATGAGTAATTTTGTTACAAAAACAAAAAATAAATGTTTGTTTAATTTTGGTTTGTAACCCTTTGATCAAGTGTCTGGTTTTGGTTTTTCTTATACATGTTTGTTTTGTCTTTGTCGGATGCAGTTATCAGTTGACGAAATTTACGTTTGGGTCTCATGTTCTTGAGCTCTACTGTCTCCAATCAGCTTCAAGTAAGTTTCATATCAATCTTGCATTGTATCTTTGTTCTTTAGATAAAAAAGGAGCAAACTTTATTGGTTGTTATGAGGTTTTTGTTATGATTAAGCTGATTCACAAAGGGTTTATTGGCCATGGAGAACTTATGTTGTTTATATACTCTTCAAGTCTTCATTTAGAACTGATCTGTATTCTAGGCTGGTGTATGCTTTGAACTTTTATTGCCACTGAAAGACTAAATATGAGCAATTAGAGTTCAGATATTTTCGATCTCGTAGAGTTGTAGTAGTGTATCAATCTCGCGCTATCTTTTTTCTTAAATGAAAATTTTGATTTAATTGTTGTGACGTTTGGAGTTATGATTTGATTAACAAAGACTGAGCACGGCCATTAATGTGAATTTCTTCATTGATCATTTTTGAATTGTGTATTCTTTGAACTGTGTTGTTTATGTGCTCTTGAAATCTTCATAAATAACTTACCTCATTAGTATTTATCTTTTTAAGCTATATGGTTCTTATGTAACACGATGTCTAAAAATGTTTGTGGGACAGCTGATTTTGATTTAACAGGGCAGCTCGTTTGGCCTGGTGCTATGCTTATGAACGGTTATCTCTCAGAAAATGCTGACATTCTCCAGGGATGTTCAGTTTTAGAGTTGGGATCTGGCGTTGGTAAGTGTTTTTTATTATCTCTCTCTAATTTTCATTACGATTGGACAACATTATCTATCTTATTTATCCTAGTAGTTAATGGCTATTCACCACTTGAGCATGCGCCTTGAAATTTCAATTAGAGATTTTATATATTGTAAACATCACCACTCAGTGCTAGATATGTTGTATATTCTTGGCAAATTTGGTCTTTGCATACTCTGCTTGCTTGAATTCACCATCATTCACATGTATAAAATCTTATATGTGTGCTCTTTCTTCCGTCTTTGAGAACATACTGTTTTGTTTTCCTGGTTTTAATTCTTGTGTTTTTGCTGATCTTTGATAAAATTTATAACACAGGTATAACTGGAGTCCTCTGTAGCAAATTTTGCCGTAAAGTTATTTTTACTGACCATAACGATGAAGTGCTCAAGGCAAGGTTGCTTCACTGAAGATTTGGTCTGAGAATTCATAATTGGTAATATAATCAGGTCTTTTAAATGAACTTTTTAGATACTGAAGAAAAACATTGAGCTTCATGGACATTCAAGCGGTCCCAACCCCTCAGCTGGTGAGAAAGGAAAATCAACTAAGCGATTTATTTCTCATCTTTCATACTATTATTGATGTTCTGTTTCACATTTCTATCTACAGAATTAGAGGCTGCAAAGCTAGAGTGGGGAAATAGTGATCATCTTGGTGAAATTTTACAGAAACACAATGATGGCTTTGATCTTATTCTTGGAGCTGATATCTATATCCTTATGAACGATTTTTTATCTATCCGCTTAGTACAATGATTGCTCTTACTTTTATCTATACAGTTGAGGTTTTGGTCCGGATTTAGATTTAAAGGAAGATTCAAAGAAATTGTTCAGTTTACTATAGAGAAAATAAAACGAAACGGTTTATCGTCTGTTCAGTTCGTTTTTTGGTTCAGTTAAGCCGTAATGGCACTCCTATGATTTACACCGGAATGAATATGTTAGCCTTGACATAACGTAAGCTTTCAGCAATCAAGTGTGCCATTTTTATTTGACAGTGTTGAGCAGCTTCTGCGGATCAGGGGACAAGGAAACTGCAAGTTCATACTAGCATACGTCTCCCGGGCTAGACAGTAAGCTTGTCAGCTAAAAGTTTTGCATTATTCTCAAATGGCTGCAAGTTTCATACGAGTCAGAGAATAAACTATATGAAACGTTGTTTCAGGATGGATTCAGCGATCTTGAGAGAAGGCGATCAGCACGGGATGCTGATGAATGAAGTTTCTGGGACTCGGTGTACCGTAGGAAACTTGGAAGGGGTCATATATGAAATCACTCTTCAATAGAAGAAGAAAGGAATTGTGTTTGAATAATTTATTTCCCTTGAGACCTGAGAATTTTTTACCATTATTTTTATGTTATTTTAGATGCATACATTTGGTGAATCCTTTACTAAAATTACAGTTCAAAAAGTATACAATGACATTTGTCATTTGTGGATGCTTTGAAGTGAAACTAACATTGTTAGCTGAAAAACTGTTGCAACTAACATATCTCCTTTATGATAGTTGTCATGTCCAATTTCTTGACTTCACCTACTTATCAGTTTTCATGTATGTCATTCTTTTAGTTTCCCACATGGATCATCTTTGTCCTTCGGTGACTTTAAAAGTTAATATTTTTCGGTCTTATTTTATCTTCTGTATTATTTTCAGTCTTGTTTTTTTCTCTATATTACTTTTCACTCTTATTTTATCTTCTATATACTATTTTTAGTCTTATTTCATCTTCTATTATTTTTTAGTTTTATTTTATCTTCTATATTATTTTCAGTCTTATTTAATCTTCTATATTACTTTTCAGTCTTATTTTATCTTCTACATTATTTTTCAGTCTTTTTAATCTCCTACAATATTTTTCAGTCTTATTTTATCTGAAAATGTCATGTAGGTAGGTGAAGACTGAAGATATTGGAACTTTATTTGTAAAGTTGATGTACTACTATAGCAATATCGTAAGTAAAATACAATTATTTTTTAAGTTTAAAGCTAAACAAATCGTTAGATATCATATAAAATAACATATTATTTATTTTTTGGAAAAATTCCATAAAAATACATTAGATATTTTTCGATTTCCATCGACAAAAATACACTGGGGGTGATTGGTAATCACTTTTAAAGCTTTAGAAAAGTTTTAGTCTTTAAAATTTTTTATTTTCCCAATCACACTTTTTTGGCTTTAAATAATTTTAAAGTCTCTAAAGTCCTTCTTTTATTCTATACTCTTTGAATTCAGTTTTTTTCTAAAGCCACGTAAACTTGACTTTAGAATTAAAAAGAATAAAAATTAATAGTTTTCTTTATTTTAATTCAGAACGTGGATGATTTTAATTCAGCGTTACTGGCTAAACAATTATGGCGTTTGATTATGGCTCCTGAGTCACTATTTGCAAGGGTATTTAAAGGACGGTATTTCCGGAAATCCAATCCATTGGATAATATAAAATCGTACTCTCCTTCTTATGGTTGGAGAAGTATAATGTCAGCTAGATCTCTGGTTCTTAAAGAACTTATTAAAAGAGTTGGTTCTGGGGCGTCCATCTCAGTATGGGAGGACTCATGGATACCAGCTCAATTTCCGAGACCAGCAAAAAGTAATGGTTCAATTACTGACCCATCTTTAAAAGTTAATCAACTTATCGACAGCCGATCAAACTTTTGGAATATGAATCTCTTGGCAGAGCTTTTTGATCCAGAGGATGTCGCGATGATTAGTGTTTTGCCTTTGGGTGTCTCAACTAAGGAGGATACCCTTGGTTGGCATTTCACAAAATCAGGAAATTATACGGTTAAATCGGGTTACCATACCGCACGGATAGAGACTTCTGATGCCAACCTTAAATTTTTTGGCCCGGATATCAAATCTCTGAAAGCTTATGCATGGAAGGTGAAGTGTCCACCAAAGCTACGACATTTTTTGTGGCAAATATTATCAGGTTGCGTACCTGTTACGGAGAATCTGAGAAAGAGAGGTATAAATTGTGACACCGGATGTGTTAGATGTGACAAAAATATCATCCTGCAAGACAAATCTGGGCTCTTTCTCCAATCCCTTCGGTTACAAGGATTTTTCCCTCGGCTTCTATTTACGCGAACTTGGATCATCTTTTCTAGAGAATTCCATCAGAGATTGATTCATCTTCATTTCCATGGATAATTTTGGTATATTTGGAAAGCGAGAAACGAGAAGATTTTTGATAATGTGGATAAAGACCCATTAGAGGTTCTACATTTAGCGGAGAAAGAGGCACAAGCTTGGCAGGTTGCTCAATCTGAGCTACATATTGACAACCAAGGTTCTTTGATACTGTAACTCGAAATCGCGTGAGAGAGATTTCATTGGATTCCAGTTACTCCGGACATCGGTGTTTCGTGGATGGATCATGGAAAAGGTCTGATATTTTTTCAGGAACAGGGTGGTACTGTACATCTGCAAATGGAGAGATGCCAACCATGGGAGCTGCAAACATCCGGCGAAGTCTATCCCCCCTACATACAGAAGTCGAAGTTCTACTCTGGGCGATAAAGTGTATGATTGGTGCTGACAACTAAGATGTAGCTTTCTTTACAGACTGTTCAGATTTGGTGAAGATGGTGTCTTCCCCAACCGAATGGCCGGCCTTCTCAGTGTATTTGGAAGACTTGAAGAGTGACAAGGAAGAATTCTCTAATTTTTCTTTATCTTTAATTCCGCGTAGCGCAAATGTAAAAGCGGATAATTTGGGACGAAAAATTCGTACCGAACCGCATCATATCACTTATGTAAACAACATTCCCCAGGAATGACTCTTTTGAGCATCTATTTTATTTAAGCTGTTGACAAAAAAAAAATAATAGTTTTCTTTATTTTCTTTTTCCCAATATATAAAAATTTCTTATAAATTTCGTTGGAAAATTAATTTTAAAAAAGTATTAACTAATTTACAATTGATTTTTTTATGTTCTTTTAAGATCCACTTATGTATATAAAAAAAAAACATTAGATATTACATTTGATACAAAAATGGAGAAATATGAATGTATAAAAACTTCTCATAAATTTTTTTGTGTAAATTTCCTTGTTATATCACAGTTTGAGTTTATATTCGCTGTAATTATTTTATTTAAATATTTTTTACAACCACAGTTTCTACAGTATTGTTGTTACCAATCACATTTTAACAGGTAAAGTATCTAAAGTTAAAGCCTCTGCAGTCAAAGTCTCTACAGCCGAAAGTAACAGTCGTTACTATCTTTTTTCGTATCCAGAAAAATGCAATAACGATTTTTTTTTTTTTACTTGTTTTAAAATTTAAAGTCTAAACAGACATTATTTATTTAAAACAAGGACTATCACACACCACTTGATTAAGGTCAAGTTTTTTCAAATAAATTTCCACAATATAATACTTAATTACATACACTATACACTATACTCTATTTAAAATTTGTTGTCCAATCATTAAATAAGGAAAAAAAAAACATGTTATAAATTGATATATTTATTGAGGTCTAAATTAAATGTTACTCATCCCCCAACTCCAAGAGGACCTCCCAACCAGAATTAGAGGAGATAAACTTGACGCGTCCCTTCTTCATTGTGCGTCTTCTTTTCGTCATCGGAAAACGAATCTTATTGCCTGAGATTCTTCATCGGAGGAATTAATCCCACTTTTCACGGTAAATTTCGGCCTCTCCGTTTTCTCTTACGCTGATCCAATTCAATAGAATGTTAAGGCTCTTCTAAACAAAAAACATTTGTGGTAATTTTTTTTTTTGATTTCGGGTTAATAATTGGAATTTGAAGGATAATTTGCAGAATTATGTATATGTTTTGTGGTGTATTTGAACATATATTTGAGCAATGGACCTGACCATTTTTCTCCAGAAAAAAAAACTCAAACTATTGCTGAAAAATGCAATGGAATGGGGCAAGACGAGCCCATTCTTTATGGTGCAAGAGTTTAACACACAACACTCATTTGCATCATCCTTCTATTCCAGTCTCACATTTGTTCACCATGTCGAGTTTGGAGGAGCCGCTAAGCTTTGACAAGTTGCCAAGTATGAGCACTATGGATAGGATTCAGAGATTTTCGTCTGGTGCTTGTAGGCCGAGAGATGATGTCGGTATGGGACACCGTTGGATTGACGGAAGAGATTGCACCACCTCTAACAGTTGCGTGTGAGTTGGCTATATATCAATCTTTGCTTTCCTTTTTTATCGTTTTGTTTGTGAAAGCTCTTGAAATATCTGTTTACTTACAGTGATGATGATAAAAGCTTTGGTAAAGAGTCCTTTCCGTGGAGAAAGCATACTCGAAAACTATCTGAAGGAGAACAACATTTGTTTCGGAATACTTCAATTTCAGGAAGGACTTCCACAGTTTCTGGGACTTTAAGGGAATCCAAAAGTTTCAAGGAGCATAAGTTTAGCACATGTAGCAATGAGAATGGCAAAATGCATTCAAGTAATAAGGTAAATCTTGATGGTGGAAGTAGTTTTTGACCTCTACATAAAACATAGCCACATATCCGGTTTTCTTTTCATTCCCCTGTCTATGTAGGATAGTTTTGTAAACATATGTCTCTAAAATGATTCGTCTTTTTCCATTTCTGCTGAAAAATTTCCCACTACTCTCTCTTACTCTGTTTTGTTTTTTGCTGTTTGAAATTCAGATCTCTAAAGGTATACCAAAGTTTGTAAAGATTGTAGAAGTTGGCCCAAGGGATGGCCTGCAGAATGAGAAAAATATAGTACCCACATCTGTAAAGGTGGAACTAATTCAGAGATTAGTTTCTTCTGGATTGCCTGTTGTCGAGGCTACAAGCTTTGTATCACCAAAATGGGTTCCCCAGGTAATGCTGTTAAGTAGGTGTTTATAAATTATATCTTTCCTGAACTTTCGTGTTTGGTGTATCCTATAATTAAGTATATAGAGCGACCACTTTGAAGATATGATTTTTTTATACTGTAGATAAGACTTTTATAAATTTCTCATAAAATTGGAATCCTTCGTAGAGTTAGCTGCAACTAAATAGTTTTCAAGATGCAACAATATAAATTTTAGTTTGTTTTGTTGGGATTTGCATCTCATCAGGAGTCCTATCACACATCATGGAATCAAAATTTTCGTGAGTACTAACTCGAAAATAAATCCATTGCTTGTTTTGACGGTCTTGCTTGTGCCTAAATTCAAATGAGCAACAAGCATCCCATTTTTGGGAATTTCTTTTGGTTACAATCAATAGTTCTTGCTACAAGATATTCAAATTGCTTTTGGTAGTTAAAAAAATGGTGAAAACCATTTTCCAAGTAGAGGAAGTATGGAACAATTTAGATTATAGAAACAATTTCCGTAATGGATGCTTACGTGAAACTAATTTGACTGAACAGAAATTTATACTATTTCGCCTTGTAGCTTGCAGATGCAAAGGATGTAATGGATGCAGTAAATACTTTAGATGGGGCTCGATTGCCCGTTCTGACACCGAATCTAAAAGTGTGTTTCATTTATCTCTTAAGGCTCGCCAAATACTCGCCAAATAATTCATGGTTTCTTACTTATGAACACCACCATGGAATGCTTGCTTCTTTTTAGGGCTTTGAAGCGGCTGTCTCTGCAGGTGCTAAGGAAGTTGCAATCTTTGCATCGGCTTCTGAGTCATTCTCCTTGTCAAATATTAACTGTACCATAGAAGAGAGTCTCTTGAGATATCGTGCTGTTGCCACTGCTGCAAAGGAGCATTCGGTTCCAGTCCGTGGGTATGTTTCTTTTAATTTGTCTCTGATTGTGTACATTATCTGTTTCCCCTGGATGGTATCTATCAAGAAACGTGCCCAATCAAGTTTTACATACTTCTTTGCTGGTGGGCAAAACATCTTTCAATTCTTTTACCCAGTTATTGTTATTATGGTTTCTCGCTATTCAACTGCTTGATGGTTTGTCACCTTATCTAATTTAAATGCGTGTTTTGAGTGACCGGTGGATCTTATCATAGGGCCTGTCAGACAGTACTTTTAATCCATATGCGTGATAATCTTATCATAGGGCCTGTCAGACAGTACTATTGTAAAAATACGGATTATAGACCATGAAGAATTTCTCTTTTCCGAGCTTACTATGATAAGTTAGTTCTGGTTTGATGTCTCATATTATTGACCCATTGAGTGTTGTTTGTGGTAGAATCAAGCTGTTGTAATATAATAGCAGACACAGTTGGTTCTAATTACAGTTCATGATTGTTTGCCAACCAATATTGAAGGTATGTATCTTGCGTTGTGGGGTGTCCAGTAGAGGGAGCCGTTCCACCCTCAAAAGTGGCTTATGTTGTGAAAGAACTCTATGATATGGGCTGCTTTGAGATTTCTCTGGGTGATACAATTGGAATCGGCACTCCTGGTAATTTCGTTACTTCAAATCTTGTGTAGTGTATTCAACTACGCCTGTGCACTGTATATGGGAGTGATAAACTTTGAAGACGTTTAGCTTCATGTTAGTAGCTATGAGTCTGCTACCTAGCCTAGGACTGAATGTAGCCGAATAAAGCGGTTGTTAGTTGGTTAGAAAGAAGTTAGTGAGGGCTGGAATCGCTGGATTTATGAGAAATGCCTCGGTAGATTATTTTGGGTGTGGATTTCTTGGGTTTTGGGGCTTCGCAATTCGTTGAGATTTGAGTCTCTCAGTAATCAATTCCCTCTGTTTGGTGAATTGAATAAATCAGGTTCTGTGGTTCCAATGCTTGAAGCCGTGATGGCAGTTGTGCCAGCCGACAAGCTGGCTGTTCACTTCCATGACACATATGGGCAAGCTCTTGCAAATATATTGGTGTCTCTCCAAGTAAGTCAAGCACTAATAGAAGAATATTTGATTATATATATAACTTCATTTATGGTTTGACATGTATTGGTGCAAAAACAGATGGGAATAAGCATAGTAGACTCATCAATTGCTGGATTAGGCGGCTGCCCATATGCAAAAGGAGCTTCAGGAAATGTAGCCACAGAAGATGTGGTTTACATGTTGAACGGTTTAGGCGTCCAGACCAATGTCGACTTGGGAAAGCTTATAGCTGCTGGAGATTTCATCAGCAAGCATCTTGGCCGTCCCAACGGTTCGAAGGCTGCCGTTGCCCTCAACCGTCGGATCACAGCTGATGCCTCCAAGATATGAGCTTTATTACAGGATTCACATATCTAAAGTCTTATGAATACGAGAGACAGTGAATATAACTTTTATATAAGATGATGTATGAATGGTTCATTGGTATAAACGATGCAATTGAAAGGTACAATGGTTTTATTCTTGGTTCTTTGCAATGTCTAAAATACGTTATATGCTTCTTCTTTTTTGTCATCTGAAGTTTTATTAATATATACCAAGGAAGGATACATTTTGAAATATTAGAAGAGGGAAACAGACCTGGGTAAACCTTACACCGAGTTCAAACAAGACAGCAACTCCAAGAGAAGTGAAAGCAGGAACCTAGAAGAACGAAAGAACAGAAGCCATAGCTGATCAACTCAAAGAGCAGAAAAATTCGAAACGACTAAGGCACAAAGAAGAATCCTTGTATATTACTATTTAGAATTCAAATATTATCAAAAGAATTATATTTATTTCTCACATCCACCTATTTAGGCGGACCTTATCTAGTTTTATAGTAAAATCTGCTCCAACTCACTTATATTTTCACATTCTATTGTTTCTATACTCATGTTCGAGTATGACGTTTATGATAAGGTAGTGATATCTAAAGTTTAACTCACATAATAGTAGTAATTTAGTTTAAAAAGAAAAATCAACTTACATGATTTAAGTATATTTAAATAAAGTAGAGAAATTGAGATGAGAGGTAGAACATTAATATAGAAAATATGTAGGTTTCTAAATATCAGAAAAATTTAAAAGATGGAGTTTGTAGAATTAAATTTTTAGCTCTTATCCACTAAGATGGAGTGTGTAGAATTAAACATATTATTATTATGAAATAAATAGTTAAATTATATTGCAAAATAGAATGTGTCATATTGAAATTTGGTTAGAAAGAAAATAGATTAAGAAAAAATGTATATTACTATTTACAATTCAAATATTATCATAAAAACTTGATATTTATTTTTTACATTGATACAAGACTCGGTGGTGAGACTCGTATGCGGATAGATATGGCGGCTTCACAAGCTGGCGATCGCTTCTCTCTTGTGAAGGAAAGATGGTCGAAGGTGGAAATCTGACACGATGGCGGTCGCTTCTCTTGTGTGGGACCAAATGAGGGAAAATGATGGCGGGGCGAAGTTGTGATAAGACTCTGATACAGCACAAGCTCTAAGTTTTGATGACTCGCTCAACAAGACATAAGAACAAACGTTTACTAAGTAAAGGAATCAACCTAACTTAGATAAACAAAAACAAAGCCTTAAGTTTTAGAGAAAACGCTTTATACTACTTTCAAATTTTGTGGTCCTCTACAATGAAACAAATGAGCCTTTTTATAGCTCTTACATGGTGTAATGTACATTAAAAGAAAATATTCAAAAATATGTATTACAATTGTTTTGGAGGTACGAGAGATTTAAGGAAAATTAATTTGATAATTGTATTACAAAAAATTATTTCATTAAAATATTGCATACTTTTAAAAATAAAATAAATATACAGAAATATATAAGAAATAATCAAATATCCAAAGTAAAAAAATATATAAATAGTTTCTTTAGCTTGATTCCCTTATTGTGCGATGGTCCGAAATAATATTTTTGAATCTGCATCAATAAGGTAATTTATCATAGCCATCAAAATTATATTATACATATATAATTTTATATTAAAAATATTATAAAAAAACAAAGAAGGAAGGAAAAAGTACAAAAAAACAAAGAAGAAATAAAATTGAAAAGAATGTAAGATATATATATATATATATATATATATATATAATCAAACTCTTACAATGATATCTTAATTGAGTTTTCAACTCATGCAAGAACATAAACAAAACAAAAAAAAATATTTAGGATTTGAGACATTGTGGAGGAGGATGTGAGAATAGTTATTTATAGGAAAGAAGTGATGGAAGTTACATTTCGAAAATAATTAGATTATAGAAGTTACAATTATAATTATAGTGTGTTTAAATGACAATGAATTGAGAAAAAAATAGTCAATTCACAATTATGTAATTTCAGATACAATTTAGTAGTAAAGTGTGAATTTAAAGTATATATGGATTAATGTATATGATTAAATGTGTTACATTTTAAGTTTAATTAAAAAAAATTATATTTTTGAAAATAAATTGCCAAGTGGACCAATAAGCAGAGAGTGAAACCTTTCTTTTATATATATGATTTAAAATCATTACTAGAATCTCTTACGAATAAAAGATGCTAATTGAGGCCTCTAAGGCCATCCACATCAGCAAAAAAAAACACTACCTATGAGAAAGCCACATCAGCACATCAATTTGTTTTGTTTTGTGAGTTTACCTTATGCCACGTGGTTTATGAGATGATGATGTCATTCGACATTTTCATTGTAAGGACGCTTCATCTTCCTTCAATTCTTTGTATCCTTTAATCTCTTCATTTACTACCCTCTAAACTAAGTCTCACAAGCGGCACTTCCTCTCCCCTACGATATAAAAGTTCAATCTGATCAATCGATTGTCTTCATCTTCCTCCCCTGCAATCTGGCTCTCTCTTTCATGGTAACCTCTCTCTTAAAAGTTCAATCGATTAACGCATGGTTTTTCTCCTTTTTCTTAACAGTTATGGAGAGCAGTGGCAATTATATTTGTGTATTTGTCTTTTGCTCGCTTATAGACAGAATTTCTTCAAACAAAAACAATATGCAATCTCTGAAGTGGTTCGAAACCCTAATTTTGGAGATCATGCGGATTCATGGAACCATATTTTGCTAAGGTAAACAATATTTCTTCATTCCTATTACGTTTTTGTTCCATTTAAATAATTACGGTATTGCATCAAAGCGTTTTCTCCTCCTCCTCCTCCTCTAGCTTTAAGCGTATTTCACCACCAATTTTCAGCGGATATGTAGGTGATATATATATCAACAAGAAAGTGTCTTTCAGTTCTGAACTTTCACAACAATACATCTAATTTTTCATCAATTGTTGTTCTTAGGATATCAAAAAAGAGGATAGAACTTTACAATCGTTCAAAGGAACTTATAGCTAGATTTCGATCGATCACAACTCTCATGGTAAGTAAAGTCGTGCTTTTGAGGTAGTTGTGATCAATGAGTATGGGAGACATAGATTTAAGATTAATAGAATCTATATATGGTGCAATTTTGTTCATCAATAGTTTCTGTATTTTTTAATCATTTATACTTTATATAGCCTCCAATTTGGATTACAGTTTAGGAGCCTCTACACACTAATTATAAATACGGCACATGAGCAGTTTTTGATAAAGACAAGGGAGTAAGAGAACAAAGATCAAATCTCTTTTGGTAAAATTTAAACAAAAAGACATATTTTGTAGTTTAATTTATTGATATAGATGTTGTTCAAACATGATGTCATAGGTACGTAGTGGACTGTACATAGTAATCAATAAAGCTCTCCAAATCTAATACTTGCTTCGACCATTTGCATAGGACAGCAAAGGTCCAATCCTCCTTCTGTACTGAGACGACGCCGAGAATCCATCCAAGTGAGGTTCGTCACAAATTTGAACTCTTGATTTAGTATGGATTTTTGTTTGTATATTTCTTACTTCATAAAGTAGAACTCTAGAGTTTGATAGTTTCGTGAGAAGCCAAGCAAGCAAGTAAATGCTTTACAAATCTAAATAAGAGGGCAGTTTATTAATATGATTTTGATTTTTAATGGTACATAGCATGTTACAGATCAAATGTTGCTTTTCATGGTTGCAGACGAGACAGTGAATTTGTTTCAACTCTACTTGGCGAGCCATTTATGTGTTGGTATTTTTTTGGAAATGCAGTTTTATATAAAAAGCAACTGAAGATATGTATCGTTTTGCCAAGGACAAAAACCTGGTGGCCTGGTGGGTATATTATGTAATGTCAAAGTTGTTTGGTATATTATGTAATGTCAAAGTTGTTTGGTAAGGCTTTGAAAGACTCAGCTTTTAAGGCCAGAGGTGGTGGGTAAAACAAAAACTTTGCTCTTCGTTACGTTGATACTAAGGTGGTTATACAAAGTAGAAACCTATTTATACTATCATCAAAAAAATAAAATATGGCTTGACTATCGCAATTAACTGAGTACTCACCATTTATTTGTTGCATGATAGGTGCCTTTAAAAGATGTGGTAAAACTTATGACCAAGTGTTAGCCTTTTAACTTTAGATCTATAATAATTTCTATATAGACTCCAAAAGAGATCAATAAGAAAGGGTATTTAAGGGAAATCGAATACGTAAAAAACAAAAAATTATAACTAGCTCTAAAATCCGCCTCGATATATATAAGCTTTTGTTAAAATGTTAAATACAAGATTTTTAAAAATTATAAAATTTTCTTTTCATATTTCCTAAAGAAACTACAAAGAATAAAAACTAAGTTAACTAATTTAAAATATCAATCTTCAAATGTCTTACCCGGGCGTAGCCCGGATTTTTCCCTAGTAACTCATAAAACGTAAGGGTTAATCTAGTAAATTTCTGATAATCTAGAGAGTGAAATATGAAGTTGTTCTGGATTCGACTCGTAGATATTCACGAGATGAATAGGAACTCTGAGCAATACGTTCTTGTAGTCGATGGAGGAGGCAAGTTATCAGCTGTCAAAGAAGAAGAAGAAGGATTCCCCGACGATTGTTGCGTTTGCGGTTCCGGTGAACATCTTTCCTTGTGCTTGTTTCTTACATGCATCGACATCGAGTAAACTTTGAAGCGTTAACAAAAAAATAATATGTAATTCGTCAGATTCATCTTAGTTAATATCTCTTGATTATTTATAATGGTGTAAAGACTGTGGAATATAATGATTTTTAAATTTTTTTTTATCAAAATTAAGATAATATGGATTCGAATTTATCGGATTAGATATAGATTGTTTCGATATCATCATGTTTAGCTAAAAAACTTAAATTTTTTGGAATAATAGTTATCGTTATTCGGTTATTCAGGTCCAAACCGGCCCATCACTGAGTTAGGATCGCACATTTTCATCTTCATGATCTCTCCGTCAGTCTTCGTAAGTATTTGGATCGATCTGTTGTGCTTGCATTGCTCAAATTTGTAACCTTTCAGATTGTGATCGTTTGCATTTATGAGTAAGTTAATTGTATGTATAGTATAAAAGTTATGTTACATTTC